AACTGCTGAGCCAAACCAGCCAGGGCTGAAAATCTATTTCTTGATCTAGACATTGGTTACATCAATATGTATACTTAAGATCTGTAAACTCTTATGTATGTTAAAATTCAATAAAAAGTATTGTTTTTATGTAGGCAAAAAGGCACAGAAATAGAGGAACAAGGCATGAATTTGGTATTAGTGAAGCAAATATTTGTCAATGGAGAAATAACCTCAACCATCTTCTTTATAGGACTTAAGAAAATTCCCACCAATTGAGGAAGCTGATTTATATTTTATCACCAAAATACATACAAAAGATTCCCTATCACATGTCAAGCAGTGCATCTGAAGGAAGGAAAAACTGCTAAATAAACACTCCCTTGGAATGGGTCAAAGACATTTCAAAGTAACAAGGGGCTAGTGAGACAGAATCACAATTCACACAAGACTACTGCCAAGGCCCTGTGTTTCAGTTTAAACATAAGTGTTTATTTTTTCTTACTGAACATAAAATAATGGTGAGCCTTACAACTGACAACTTGGATTAGGAGATAGATAGATAGATAGATACATACATACATACATACATACATACACACACACACACACATACATTTCTTTTTCCTTACTTGTTTGCCAAGAACAGGCCAAGCACAATGCAATGCCTATGGAGGATGCCATGAAGCGGCACACAAAGTCCCTGCCTTCATGAGATGTATTCTGTTCATTAAAGGACCTAAAGCAACCATACGAACAGCTATTATCCTGATTTAGAATGGTACTAGTAGTATAAGTACAAAGTGTGTATATATGTGTGTGTGTGTATATATATATATATATATATATATATATATATATATATATATTTTTTTTTTTTAAGCACACACAAAAAAAGATTTCTTCCTGCTAATGTTACAGAGTATAAGAAAGTGCTTTAGAAGCATCTAGAACTGTGCTGTCCAACACTATATCCATTAGACACTTGTGGCTATTTAAATTAATATTAAGTAAAACAAAAATGTGGTTCCTCAGTCAGACTACTGAGCACATTTCAAGTGCAGAACAACCACATGCGATGGCACCTGCACTGGTCAGTCACAGAATGCCACCACCATCATAACAGTGACTGGTCAACCCTAACTTGGAGATGTTCAGGAGTAAGAAAGAGGCACAGAACAGGCACACAGGACAATTTATCTAACCTTTAGGGAAAAACACTCTTTCTAATCTTGTATCCATTTTTCCACGTTGCCTTTAACATCAAGATGGCAAAACCAGGCCACTCTGGTCTAAAACCAAGCTCAGAATACATCCCTAGGGAAAAGTCAAAGCCTTAAAGTTACATGAGTAAAAAAGACTATTCACAAGCTCACCAGAGTCTAACTTAGTTCACCAGAATAAAATTTTACTGAAAGCTTAGCTAGAAATAAAGCATTATTTTGCCTTACTTGTCAAGTAAGACAATAAATATATTTGTGGAAGAATCCATTCATTAAGAAGCATTTGCTGAGCACCTTCTATGTGCCAAGCACAAAGGTAACCAGGAGGAATAAAAGCATTTAAATCACTCACTCTATTCAGCAAATATCATAAAAGTTTAAGAGTTACAAACTCGTAAGCAGGGGCACTGGCCAGTGTGGCTGTTGGTTGGAGCATTGTTCCATTCCAAAAGGTGGCAGGTTCTATTCCCTGTCAGGGCACATACCCAGGTTTCAGGTTCGATCCCCAGTCAGGGCACAGGAGGTAGGAAACCATTCTATCTTTCTCTCTCACACTAGGTGAGGATAAAAAAATTAAAAACAACCACAAAAAACCTCCTAAACAGGGAAGAAGTCAACAAATTCTGCTCATCTGCAGTTCTTCAGAGACAACAAGAAGGGAGGTAATAAGGGTCATCCCCAGCAAATGCCCTAAAGGTTGTTGACTCCTCTGGTGCTCAATGTCCATTAATCTGCACCAGTCACAATGACTTAGCAAAAAGCTAAGAATCCTTTCGAAAAGAAAAGAAATTGAGGTTTATAAAACCTTTATTAAGGTTATAAAAACCACAAACAACAATTCTTGCCAAAAATATCATAATCTCAAAGAATATCCTTAAAAAAGGAAATATCAATGAATCAACATTTGACAAACAACGGCCCGACAGAAGAAACAGTGGGAGCCAGGGAGATATAAAGATATTCAGGCAGTCTCCAACCTCCAGGAGCTTTTACCTACTTTGGGAGATGAAATGCTCATGAATAAGTATAATGCAAGGAAATGGTAAGTGGTATACTCAGGAAACAATTACAGAAAAAACTGTAAGTTGAAAGGACCCTGGAAGTCTTTTTGTCCAACCCTCTCCCCTTGTCTGGAACCCATTTCACAAAACATTATTCAGTCTAAGTACACCAGGGATGAAGATGTCACAGTTTCATAAAGACAGTTCAGAAGCAACTGAAGACAGGAGTCAAAAGGAGCTGAAAATAGGAGATGATGGTTAGATATATGGATTTAGAAGTCAAGTGAATATCAAGTAAATACAATACTAATAATGCAGAATAATACACTAAGGTATCACTATAGCATAGGGTCTGTTATGATACAAATTCAGAGAAAACGCAACGGGATGTTATAAAACCATCTCCAACTAGTTGTGACTACAGAAAAGGGAGTAGATAAATCAAAGTGACATTCTACTCTTTCTGCTCCATAAACCCCTTCCCCTGCTCTCACTTGTCTAGGCTACTTCTATTTCTATTTCCACCTAAGCCAGAAACAAAGGAAAACTAATATTTACTCAGTAGCTACAAAGTGTCAGGCATGGTGCTGGTCATTTATTATGAATCGTGTAATGTAAGAAGATCTTTACTAATGATTGCAGCTCCTCAGAGACGGGCTTAAGGAACCTGTTTAGCCTATGATCCAGATTTAGTATGATATTTGAGATATTTGGAAGGCAGCTCGATGAAGAGGAAAGAGTAGTAGAAGCTTCAGCACAGCTTCTGAGAACTGAGGTTCTGGTCTTCAGCTGTATAAATGCAAAAGTTGTTGGGCCTCTCTGTATGTCACTTTCTGAAGCTCTACCCCATCTACCTTACATGTTTTTCTAAGGATCAAAATGGGATAACATATGTAAAAGGATTCTGCAAATATAATACATCACTGATATCCATTTATTCATCTAACAAATACTCACTGAGCATCTATACTATTCTACACTGTAGGGTCTCAGCAGTGAACAAGACTGGTAAGGTCCCTGCTCTCATGGGACTTAAGTTGTGCCAGATGGGTGACAGATAATAAATAAACACAAACAAATACGTGAATGACAGTTTCCAATAATGATGAATGCTCTAAAGAAAGTAAAATAGGTGATATGAAAAACAGTGAATAGGGGAAAGGGACCTACTTTTTTTTTTATCCTCACCTGAGGACATTTTTCCATTTTTTGTTCAGATAGAGTGGGAGGAAGAGAGAGAGAGACACATTGATGTGGACACATCGAGTGGCTGCCACCCGCACGACCCAAACAGGGCCGGGGACAAACTGCAACCGAGGCACGTGCCCTTAGCGGGAACTGAACCCGGGTCTCTCTGGACTGCAGGCCGACCCTCTAACCGCTGAGCCAAATTGGCCAGGGTCCTACTTTTTTTTTAAGAGAGCTTTTTTCTTAAACCTCATCCACGGATATGATTTTTTTTTTTAGAGAGAGGAAGGGAGAAAGAGAGAAACATCGATCACATGCCCAACCGGGAATCAAACCCACAACCTTTTTGGTTCTCAAGACAATGCTCCAACCAACTGAGCCACACCGGCCAGGGTGAAAGGGAACTACTTAGATGGAATAGTCACAGAAAGGCCTAGCTGAAGAGACACTACTGACACCTCAAAGAGTTCTTCAGCCAAATGAAAAGCTAGGAAAATATGTTCAAGGCATAAGGAACGAGACAAGCTTGGCATGTTCAAAGCACTGAAAAAAATGAGGTATGCCTATAACACAATGAGTGAGAAAAAGTATTAGGAGATGAAGTTTAAATATGTGGATGGTAGCCAAATGCAGTATGGTCTTAGACCATTAAAAGGATATTATCGCCCTGGCTGGTTTGGCTCAGCGGTTAGAGAGACCCAGGTTCGGTTCCCACTAAGGGCATGTACCTCGGTTGCAGTTTGTCCTCGGCTCTGGTTGGGTCGTGTGGGTGGCAGCCACTCGATGCGTCCCTTTCACGTCGATGTTTCTCCCTCTCTCTCTCTCTCTCTCTTCCTCTCTCTCCCTCCCATCTGAACAAAAAAATGGAAAAATGTCCTCGGGTGAGGATAAAGAAATAAAATAAATAAATAAAAAATAATAATAGTAATAATAAAATAAATAAAAAGATATTATCATTAACAAAGCTCTTCTAGATAAACCACAGAACTTAGATGCTTGTATGCATAACCATGGACATGGACAACAATGTGGGGGACGGGTGCAGGGGCAGGATCCGGAGAAGGGGGCCAATGGGGGAAAAAGGAGAAACATTTGTAATAAAAATAAAAACAAAAAAACACAGAGCTCTTCTTTTCATCAATATGGCCCAATAAATTGAGCCATTTATGAAAATATCAAGTGTACATATTATCAAAAGCAGGACACGTCCAAATTTCTAACTGAACAATGACACCACCAAAAAACAAGTGGAAGGCTCCTATACAGTGGCATTTTAAAGAACTGTATCTAAACAAAGATATCACTTACTACAATGTTTGGTAAGTCAAAAACCTCTATAGTAAATAGAAGTGATAGAATTATAAAATTTGATTTGAAAAAACACCAATGTTCATTCAACAAATATTTATCAAGTACCTAGTATGTGCCAGGCATGTTCTAAGCACTGGCGATACAGCGATAAACAAATCAATAAAGATTTAAGTAGTAATTAAGCAGGAGATTTAACTGTATAAGGCAATACTGAACTTGACCTTATTTTATGTGTCAACATTTTCTGAAACAGGAGTTATAGGCTTAGTCATATGTACCTTTCGGAAGGCAAACTTACCAAGGAATTCTTAATCACTTCACTTCTATAAAATTCTGGAAAAAAAAAAAGAAAGAAAAAGAACAATAAGTGATATGGAAAAAAATTAGCTCAATACCTCTTAAACTGGTAAACTTTTTAACATGTGTCAGTAAAACATTTTCAAGGGATCTATTCTCTATATATTTTTATCTGTAAAAAATTAAAATAGAAGTATAGATTAAATAAAAGTGTTTTTTAAAGGGAAAAAAACGTTAGTAACGAAAGGTCGAAACCTATTAAGATTTAAGTTAGTGAATTTTACTTTATTGGCTCCTTGTACACTATATTCAAATTTGAGTCCTTAAAACTCAGACTTTCTTCTCCCCTACCTACTGCCACTCTCTACAATTGATTCCATGGTCTGTTTTTCTCAAACATCTCATATGATTATGCATGGTAGCACTGGGAAATGAATACTGATCTAGCAACCAGGTAATTTAAGTTCTAGTTCCACCTGTCATTCATTCTCTCTTTAATTTCTTTGGATCCATTTTTCTTCATCAGACAACTTAGAGACTTAGACTAATAACCAAAGGTAATGTGTAAGCATTAAATTTCATGATTCAGCCCTGGCTGGGTGGCTTAGTTGGTTGGAGCAGCATTCCATACATCAAAAGGTGGCGAGTTTGATTCCCAGTCAGGACACATACCTAGATTTCAGGCTCGATCCCCAGTCAGAGCACGTGTGGGAGGCAATCTATGTTTCTCTCTCACATTATTTTCTCTCTCTCTCTCTCTCTCTCTCCCCCCTCCTCTCTCTCTCTCTCTCTCTCTCAAAAGCAATTAAAAAACATATTCTTGGGTAAGGATTAGAAAAAATAATTTCATAATTTAATAATTTCTATTTTTCTATAGAAATAGAAAAATATTTTCATAATTCTACAAACCTTCAAGTATGTTGTAAATGTTACAAAACCTGAAGATGTAATCAAAGAGAGAAATGTAACAGAGGTTCAGGCAGACAGTTCCAACGACCATCCAACATTCCTTGTTGACCCTGCCAAAGACACCTCCATGATGCCGTCTCTGCAGAGCCCACAAGGACCCTTGTATCCTCAGGTTGCTATGGGTACTATTTCACAGGTGCAATGCACATACCTGTACTTAAGATGACTTTAGATGCTACATGGACAAACTATTTTTTTTTTATATATTGCAACTCATGCCTCACACACAGTAAAACATTTTCATTGTAAGCTCCATAAAGGAGCAGTGTTCGTTCTATACAACTGCTGTCTCCTCAGCACATACAACCATTCCTGGCACAACATTCTTTGAATCAACAATTTCACCCATTATTCTTAGACATGAATTCAAAAATAATAAACTTTTGAAAATATACATTAAGTATGCAACAATATAGGTAAAACTCAAATATATTGAAACTTGTCAAGGTGGTCCACTAATAACTGTATGGGAGTTGTCATTCAGTAAAAGGGCAAGCTCTTTTGGTTAAAGCATGTCTTGACAAACCTATCACCTACATTACTCTAAGCTTGTCTTCCCCCCAAAAAAGATCGAATAATTCAATTTTGTGGAGAGACAGTCGCAATATATTAAATGGGAAAATACAAAACAACAAGTTCTAAGAATTTACAAAAGAAATATTTTTATAATTATATTAACAATGTTTATCTTAGATGGTAAGATAGAGTTGCTTACTTTTAGTTTTAGCTTGAAGTTTTCTAATTTTTCTCTCTTCAAGCAATTATTTTAAATAAGAAAAGGGATAATTCTAATTATTTTTAAAAAGAATTTCCTATTGATGAACATTCAAGTTACTGCTAATTTTTAGATATTTCTAGTAATATTACTATATAAAAAGAATCTTTTAAAGATATATATGCTAAGATGTTTGAATCTACAGGATAAACTTTTAGAAGTAAAATTGCAAGACAAAAGAAAAATATAAATTTGATAGATAATGCCAAATTATTTGCTAAAAATATTCTACCAATTTACAATCCCACTTTTGAAATACCTGTCTCCCCTACACTAGGCAACACTAAGTATTATTTTTTTCATTTTATTTCCCAAATGGCTAACCAATTATTGCAACCATAAATTAACTATAGATATATGTGTATGTATGTATGCATCTATAATTAATTTATTATATGTTAATATATGTATATATTAACTATAACATATACTATATAGAATATACACATATTTTTTTTAATTCTCACCCAAGGATATTTTTCTATCTATCTTCAGATAGAGAGGGAGGGAGAGAGAAACATCTACGTGAGACAGACACATCCACTAGCTGCCTCCTGCATGACCCTGACCAGGGCCAGGGTCAAACTGCAACCAAGGTACATGCCCTTGACCAGAATCATTGGTCTGCAGGCCGATGCTCTAACCGCTGAGCTAAATTGGCCAGGACAACACTACATATATTTTTAGAAAAACGACTGAAAGGTCTAAAAAAAATGTGTTATATAACAGGGTACTTTCACTTTATACTTTTACATTTTTCTATTATTTGGATTTGTTACAACATGTATTACTTTTTAAATCAGTGGAGGAAAAAAATAAAGATACTTTTGTATCTCTTGAGAGAGAAAATTCTTCAGCTTAATTGACAATTAAACTATTAAACAGTTCCCAAAATAAATATCTCCAGCTCTTAGAAGATAAATAGTACCATTATTCCTTTAAAAGCTTTGCTGACTGTATGTATAAATGAAACTAAATGATTTTCCTTCTCCATGAGACCCATAAAATAGACTTGCTAATTTAAATGAACAGAGGTCAACAAAGGAGCCATACAACTTGGAAAGAAATCGCCAAGTCTGAGGACATTTCTAACATGCTAAAGGTGGGCCTACAGTGTTTACCATTCTGTTACATCTAAAATACTATCAGTAAAATTAGCAGCATGGTGAAAAAAGAGAACAGTGAATTTAGAATAATTTAGAGTCAAAAAATAGTTCCAGCCCAGCCGGTGTGGCTTAGTGGGCTGAGCATCATACCCATCAGACTGAGAGATCTAGGTTCGATTCCTGGTCAGGGCACATGCCCAGGTTGTGGGCTTGATATACAGTGGGAGGGTGTGCAGGAGGCAGCCAATTGAAAACATTGATGTTTCCATCTCTCTGTCCCTTCCTCTCTCTCTAAAAAAATCAATGAAAATATATTTTAAGCCCTGGCCGGTCTGGCTCAGAAGTTAGAGTAACCATCCGCAGACCAGAGAGTTCTGGGTTCGGTTCCCGCTAAGGGTATGTACCTTGGTTGCAGTTTGTCCCCAGCCCCAGTTGGGGTTGTATGGGTAGCAACCACTCAATGTGTCTGTCTCTCTCACATTGATGTTTCTCTCTCTCCCACTCTATCTGAAGATAAATGTAAAAAAAAAAAAAAAAAAAAAAAAGTCCTCAGGTGAGGATAAAAAAAAAACATACTTAAAAAAAAAATAGTTTCAGTCCCTAATCTACCATAAAGTTGACCCTGGACAAGTCAACCTTTTTGAGCCATAGTTCCTTCACCTTTCAAAGGAGAATGACACCTGAAAAACAGCAGGGCTGTTGTGAGGCTCAAAAGAAATAGTGAATTATCAATTATATTTTATTAATAGAATTCTATTAATTTTCATTAATAATTTGAGTAATATTATTTGACACTATAAATTGTAATTTTTATTAACACAATCCGATTAATTTTTATTAATTCAATCTGAGCAAAAAGATGATCACCGGAGCCCCACTTCTACATGAAAGGGACCCTGAGATACGAATGTCCCTCTGTCCCTGCCAAGGCCTAGGAAGGCAGCGACCAGAGCGCGGAGCATGCCTCCATGCCTCCAGTGGCTCGTTCTGGCAGTTATGCAGCATTCCGTTCGCTCAACAAATGCCTTTTAGTATCTCAACCTCACTCACAATAGACGAAATACAAACTTAAACTATACTATAAAACTATTTTATCAGATTGGCAAAAATTCAAAAGTTTGTACAATCTGTCGGTTAGGCTCCGGGGCAAAGGACACATAGCAAGTGGGAGTGTAAACAAGGGCACTTTTCTAATATCTACCAAAACTGCAAGTACACACTGTCTTTGTCCTTTTACTTCTTGGAATATACAAAATAATGTGCTTATAAAGTTATTCAGCACAGTACTGTGTATACTGCAAAAGACTAGAATTGCCTATAAACGCCTACAAATAGGAGCCAGTTAAATCATTTATGTACTCTATTCAATGCAAAACTATGCAGAAAAATTAGGAAAGCTCTCTATGAACCAATATGGAAAAACATTTTAAATATGGAAAAACATTTAAGGTATATTAAGTAAAAATTTCAAGGCACAGAAATATATATAGTTTGGTACTAATTCTACTTGTATTTGTATAAAGAATTTCAGGAAAGCTAAGTAAGAAATGAATAACAGTGGTTATCAGGAAGGGGTGGAAAACTAGGGAGATACACATATCTATTTAAGAGCTTAGTATGTGACAAGCATTGTTCCAAGTATTGGAGGCAGGGCAGTGAACAAAAGTTACCTAAAAACGTCTGCCCTCATGGAGCTTACATTCTAGAGGAGAGAGACGTACATTAACCAAATGATTAAACATATAGTATGGAAAATGATCTTAAGGACGATGGAGAAAAATGAAGCACAAAAGACAGGCGGAGAATAGTCACCATTTTTTAAAGGGTTTAGTCAGTGATGAGGAGAGCTTCTCGGAGAAAACATTCCGAGTAAAGCCTGCAAGGAGGTAGGGGCTCACCATGCAGATAGATATCGGGAGCAGAGCATGCCAAGGACAAAGACACAGCAAGTGCAGAAGCCTTTAAACTGAAGCAAACTTGATATATTCAAGGAACATCACGGAGGTCAGCGTGGCCAGGACAGAGAACTACAGGAGTAGAAAGAGATGAACTCCAAGGTGTAGCGGAGGATCAGGTCATGAAAGTCCTAGAAAACTTCACAAGGATTTTAGCTTGTGCTGAGTAAGATGAGAAGGCGCTGGAGGTTTTAAGGAGAGGAATGACATGATCTCACTTTCATTTCACTGAGATCTCAGTTGAGAACGTAGCGAAGAGAGTACATGAGCAGGCAAACCTGCTAGAAGTCGACTTCAACAATTCAGGCAAGAGACGATGGTGGTTTGCAGGTAATGAGTGACTGGATTATGAATACATTTTTATAGTAAGAGCCAAAAGTATTTGCTGAAAGATTGGATATGGGACATAGAAAAGGAGACTCCAGGATAACTCCAAGGTTCCTGGCTAAGGAAATGAAAGGATGGAGCTGACATTTTCTGGAAGAAGGAAGAATACAGGAAGTGGTTCAGAGCTGGAATATCAGAAACTCGGTTTTGAATATATAAGTTTAAGTTACCTACTAGACTCCAAGCAGAGATATACAGCAGGCAACTGAATGTAGGAGTGTGAGTTGAGAAGGGAGGTCCAAACTAAGAATATAAATTTGCAAGGCGTTAGTGATAAATGATATTTAAAACTATGAGACTTGGATGAGATCACCACAATGCATTATACAGAGTTCGTTTTCTGATGTATTCAAAATAGCTGGTTGATATTCCAGGAGAGGACAGGGACTCACATTTCATGGTGAGAAAATAACTGTGGCTTAAGAACAACCTTGATTTTATAAATATTCCAATTTTAAGAGGAAATCAGGATTAAAACGATTAAAACCTAGCTCCTCATCCATAATAAGAGGTTTTGTTCTCTGGAGATATGATAACTAGTGTTTGATTTGAACTACCTAAAAGGTAGACAGTCTCCTAAGAACACTAAAGTATGCCAAAAAAAATTTTAATCTCATATATAACTTCTTAGGATCTGCTGTGAATTCAGCTGAAATAAAGGAATAACTTAGAAAACAGAATTTCAGATATTCTTCCAATTAAAAAAAAACAACTTTCTTTTAAAACTAACAAATAATGTTACTAAACAGGTGGTACAGGTGGTTTGTGAAAAGAGCCAAACTGGCTTTCTATCATGGTCACCCTACACCAGGGGCTACACAATGACCATGAAATGAATAACCGGACCTGTGTTTGTCATCAGAGGTCCAATGAGAGAAAGTGGTACAATAGGTTTAGTAAGGAAACAGCTTCCTGGCTCCTCCTATGGTAGATAAAAGTTACAGAGCCCAACACATGGGCCTGACAAAACCACCATGAATAGACTTCACTCATCCATGACATTTTAGAGAAGAAGGAAGTCCCAGAAACCATCAATCCTCTCATTTTAGAGGTAAGTTAACTAAATGCGCCAGACTTGCCAGTTAGTGAGAGACTCAAAACCACCACCAGACACCAGACTCCCTGTGGTCTGTCACCAGCTATTCCCTAATTATGTAAATGATTTTACCGAGGTAACTTCAAGAAACAGTACATGATCATTTCTAATCTCAAATTGTAATCTGAGCTAGAAAACAAAACAAGAACAAAAAAATCACTTTCCTTACATCTCTTAGACAAGTTTTAACGTCACAGTCATCAACCAGTCCCATAACTACTCTCTTTTTAGAAACTACTATTATGATTATTAACATTACAATTCTAATAATAACGGCTATCATTTACCAAATATCTAAAATGCACTAAGCCTATGTTAATTACTATTATCAGAGATGACACTGGAGCAAGTACACAGAAGTTCTATGAAGATAACCAAGAACTGATTATATAGAAATCTACCAAAAATTTAAAATACTCTGGCATTGTCATATATTGCTAATGATAAAACCAATTAGTGAGTGGATCAAACATATTAAGATCTGCAACAATGTTTATACCTTTAGGACAAACAGCAACCCAACTGTTTATGTTCCTTCTCGACACAAAGGACGACAACACTTCCCAGGCCCTTTTCATCTGGAAAGAATCACGCAGATTTATGGGCAATAGAATGTGATGGAATGAAGCTGGGCCATTTCCATTTTTAAAATTTCACTCAAGCCCTGGACAGTTTGGCTCAGCAGTTAGAGCGTCGCCCTGCAGTCCAGAGAGACCTGGGTTCGGTTCCTGCTAAGGGCGCGTACCTCGGTTGCAGTTTGTCCCCGGCCCTGGTTGGTGGTGCGGGTGGCAGCCAAATGATGTGTCCCTTTCACATCGATGTTTCTCTCTCTCTCTCCCCCTTCCACTCTATCCAAAATAAATAAATAAAATAAAATAAAATAAAACTTCACTCAATCCCTCTCTTGCCATGACAGAGGTCATGTGTTGATGGCAGCAGCATTCCACAATAGAAGGAGCCTGGATACCTGAGTCACTGCTTAGAGGACAGCTGCCAGGACAGTACCTGACAAAAACACCTGCACTGGACTTTGTGTAAGAAATATATTATGTTGCCCTGGCCGGTTTGGCTCAGCAGTTAGAGCTTTGGCCTGCGGTCCAGAGAGACCCAGGTTCAGTTCCCGCTAAGGGTGCGTACCTCGGTTGCAGTTTGTCCCCGGCCCTGGTTGGTCGTGCGGGTGGCAGCCACTCGATGTGTCCCTTTCACATCGATGTTTCTCTCTCTCTCTTCTTCTCTCTCCCTCCCACTCTGAACAAAAAATGGAAAAAAAAATGTCCTCGGGTGAGGATAAAAAAAAAAAAAAAGAAATATATTATGTTAAGCCACTGAGATTTGTGATATTTGTTATAGTAGCTAGCATTGATCATTCAGATCACAACTGTTTCTAAACTATGCAATGGTGCCCTGGCTGGTGTGGCTCAGTTGGTTGGACCATTGAACCATACACAGAAAGGTGGCAGGTTCGATTCCCACTCAGGGCACAGACCAGGGTCACGGGTTCAACGCCCAGTCAGGGCATGTACGGGAGGCAACTGATAGGTATTTTTTTTGGTCTCTCTCTCTCTAAAATCAATATAGAACATATCCTTGAGTGAGGATAAATATATATATGTAATGGTCAGAATAAAAAATATGAATAAAATAAAACTATGTAATAATGGTAGATTTTAGAGGTGTTTTTTTTTTATCCTTAAAATTTTTTTAATGCTATTTACATTACAATAGTGGTTCTACTCTATATAACTCCTAATTGAATTTTTTAATGAGCATATGCTGGTAATACATTTTTTTTAAAAGTTGTTGAAACAACTATTGCTTTAATGCTGGTTTTTAAAAGTAATTCAAACCAAAAGATAAATATCATTCAAAAATGTCATCTTTGCCACAAGACAAAATTCAAATAAGTCCTTAGTAACTTTTATTAAAATAATGCCACCTTTTGTTAATATAAGGAGCCCTTAATAACACTGTACCAAGTGTTATCACCTTATCTCAGTTCATCCTCATAAAAATCTGTCTTGTCGGCTTCATAGGACCTCATTATCTCTACTTTACAATTGGGAAAAATGAGGTTCAAAAAGCCATGATCTTTTCCCAAAGACACACAGTAATAAATAGCTGAGCTAGAACTAATTTCAATGTTTTCTATCCTGATTCAGTAATCCTGCCATTATACTGTGCTTCTTCCTCCCATACCATCCTACTAAGGTCAGCCAATTATATCCAAGTGCTTTTCATCCCTTATGTATTCAAAAGATGTTTGTGATTCTGAATCAAATATGTGGTCTACGCTTAGAACTGTCACTTATGGGAGAACCGACATTTCAACACATAAAACTGAATTCACAGAAACCATGACAATTCTTCTAAAAAAGGAATACACAAGGAATTACAGATATGAGAAGATATGAACTAGGACCCAATTTTACCACAATATTAAAGAAATCAATTACATTTTAAAGAAAAGAAAATAAGTCCTGGATAATGAACTCATATAATCTGTTTTAAATTATAGCTACTGAAATAAAGATATTAATAGCTAACATTCATAAAGGAATGATAAACTTATCAATGTAAGGCTTGGTTATCTGAAAGAACTACCTAAACGTCATGTTTAATATATATAACAACTGCTCATGAAATATTTTCATAGCATGGCAATTTAGCTTTCCAGTAAGCAATAATAGCAAGAGGCACTTGTGTTACAAAAGAATAAAAATGAGATGGAACAGTCTATGGGTAGCAAGTCCACAGATTCCCTTACCTTTATATATCTTTTCATTATTACACAAGTGAAGGGTGAAGTAGGTATCAAGGAGCTGATGGCCATTTCTATTAACAATGTTCCGGGCAGCAATGTTCCGAAGATGTCTAAGACGACGCTAAAAAGTAACCACAAAAAAAACAAAACAAAACAAAAACAAAAAACAAAAAAGAGGGGCGTTCAGCTTTTTCCTCCTATAACATTTTCTGAAAGTTACAATTCAAAAAAGAAAGACGGTAAATTGTCCCAGTCATTTATTTACTGAGCCAGCAACCTTAACCCAGTTTCTTATTGATGTCTCAGCATGCCTCCCTATTTCGTTTACAAGGTTAAACCATGCCACTTCCACGTTGTGAGCATGAAATGACAACAATATGAAATATTTTTGAAAAGCATAAATGTTAATATAAGTGCTATATACCTGCAGAATAGCATTAGTATTTCTTGGAACATAAACTAAGTAGTAATTTGTTTCTTTTTTTTCCCCCCTTTAAAGGATGCTGATAGACATGCAAAGTCCATCTCATACCATCAGAATATCAGCAGCTATTATATACATACCACCCTAGTGCTAGTTCAGTCTCGATGCCAGACCATCTATCTGTACAACCAAGAAAAGAGGCCAAAACCAAAAAATGAAAGCAATAACTGACTGGTCACTCCAGCCAATAGCCCAACTGTTGTGAGCTTAAATTAAATTCTCACTGGACCAGCAGCCAACCAATCTGTATTTCCTAATCAGGCTTCCTTCCCAATGATTTCTCAAACTAAGAATTCCTTGGAGTTACAAGTGTGTTAGAAAGGCAAAAGCTCCTTAAGTGATAGTATAATTTAATGAAAATACAAGATAACTTAAGGGATAGTCAGATGATCTCATATCACAAAGAGAAAATGCTAGCAATGCTGAAATCTGAGCACATCAGATTCATTCCCAAAAGCTGGTTCCCTGTGTCAAATAATTATTTTTGGAGACTTAAAAATAGAAACAAAGTGCTCAGTTTTAAAATATGTTAAAGCTCTCCCTTCGGGCTAAAAGACAGCCCACTCTACTAAGGTAAGACCATCTTTAATTACACGTGCAGTGAACCAGAAAAGTACAGTTCTTTCTTTATATGCAATCCTTTCTCCCAATCCAGAGATTAAGATTCTTTGAGAGAGGAGGTTATTACCTAATAAATTTTTTTAATCCTCTAAGTATGAAAAACCCCGAATGTATTTACAGAAAGTTCCTAGGGCTTACTCTAAAAGACTCATTTTTCCACAATCTGTCAACAGTTTCCATTTCACAGCCTGGATTACAGAACAATGTCCTCCTACTACATATTTTTCATTAGCCCTCTCAGTCAAGACTTTCAATTGACAGGAACCACAAACTGCCTATACACAATCATCATATTTATTTTGCTTAAGACTTGTCCTCTATTCAAAGTCTTGAAAATATTACCAAAGCCTCTAACACAAAATACAAATTTATCATTACTGTTTTCAAAGCCCTGTGCAATCTGACCTCTCCATATCCTGCCCTTACTTCCCACTAGACCTTCCACATGCTTAATCTCTCAGTCATACATGACAGCTTAAGGTTCCATACACGACCTAGCTCCATGCTTTTGCTAGAAATGATCTAGAATATCATTCTCTTTAAAGAGATCCTATTTTGCCCAGCAGATGTGGCTCAGTGGTTGAGTGTCGACCCATGCACCAAGAGGTCGCCGGTTCGATTCCCGGTCAGGGCAAGGCCCAGTTCAAGGCCCAGGCTGTGGGCCCAATCCCCAGTGGGGGGCATGCAGGAGGCAGCCAATCATTGTTCTCTCTCATCAATATTTCTATCTTTCTAAAAAAAAAAAATCAGTAAAGAAAAAAAATTTTTTCTTCAAAGAGATCCTAGTTCCTCTTCAAAGTTAAGGAGACAGGATTCCTTCTTCCTGATTTCTAACTGAAATTAATTGCTCCTTTTTTGAATAAAAAGAACTGTGCTTCTTTCTCTTCTATACCACTTATTTTTATTCAGCCTTATATTATAGGTAGTTATTTACAGTTAGTTTCCCTATTAATCTAGGAAGAAAAGACAGTGACAGATACCATTACCATCACTATTCTGTTTGCATTTATTAAGTGCCTACCGTGTGGCTTGTACTAACCTCATACATTATGAGCTTACTTAATCCTCATAACAACTCTATTAGGTTAGGGTTACTCATTATCATTATCCATCTTTTTATCTCAACATTTCTAAGTAACCAAATATAAACAAAGAAACAAAACAGTAAGTGATAACTAATTAGCAGGGTATCTCGAAAGAAGGAAGGAAAGCAGGAAGAAATTAAAGAGGTTTTATGTATCTCCTATATCTATATATATCTAATAGATATAATTTGGTCTTTATACTCTATTGCTACAGAGAGCAGAACACTGACCTATCCTTCAACTCAAGAGAATAATTTTATGACAACGGAACTGACTGCCTTACAAAGCAGGAGTCAGGGCTTGGACAGAGACTGAGTCTGTAATGAATGCACGGATTTTGCTGATGAGATCTTTGTGTTATGCTGGAAGTTAGAACAACTGCCTCCAAGCCACCTTCGGACTCCAAGCTCCAGGATTCTAAAATCAGCAAGGGCGTGAACAAACACTCATCTGGGTGGATGACCAATGTATCATTATTTGTATGCTTCCTCCACTGATGTGGATAAAACAGAATTGACCATATCAGGGAATTTTATGAAAAGATTTACAAAAACAAAAAACTCCTCCACAAATTAGCCAACTATACTTATACAGTACCTTGGGATGTATTACTTTTTGCCTTCTCTCTTATTTTATTTATTTCAAAAGCATCAGGGTACATATTCTCATTATACCATGATTCATTAAAATACAAGGTGTCCCCAGCAGCTGGTTCAGACAAAGGAAAGCAACTCCTTAAGAGGAAATTACTGATGGAACTTGGTGAGAGGCAGTAAAGGTCCGAAAGAGCCCTACTGTGCCCTTTGTCTCTGCTTCTTCTTAAATAAAATTCATTTCAATTTTATCAGAAAGTTGCTTTTACTTTTTTTAAATGCTATACTGATAAACTAACAAACGAAATAGAAACAGACTCATAGAGAATAGGCTAACAGCTGCCAGAGGAGAGGGGGATTTTGAGGCTGGGTGAAAAGGTGAAGGGATTAAGCAGGGGGAAAAGCCCTCATCGACACAGAAAACAGTGTGGTGATTACCCAAGGGAAAGAGGTGTGAGGGGAAGTAGAAAAAGGTATAAGGGTACAGGGGGGATAAATGGCAATGGAAGGAGACTTGACTTCGAGTGGTGAACACACAATACAATATACAGATTACATGTTATATAGACGTGTACACCTGAAATCTATATACTTTTATTAACCGATGTCACCCCAATAAATTCAATTTAAAAAATGATAAACTGTAATAAAATGGAATTCTATTAATAGTAATGTACCAATGTTATTTTTTAGTTTTGACAAATGTAAAATGGTAATGTATGATGTTAACATTAGGGGAAACTGAATGAAAGGAATTCTCCATGTTATCTTTGCAACTTTTCTGTAAATCTAAAATAATGCCAAAATAAAAAGTTATTTTTTAAAAGTTATTGCCTTTTGCCCTGGTGGGTTTGACTCAGCAGTAGAGCATCAGCCCAAGGACCATGAGTCGCGGCTTCAATTCCAGCCAATGGCATGTACCTTGGTTGCGTTTCATCCACAGCCCTGGTCGGGCTCATGCGGGAGGCAATCAGTTGATGTGTCCCTCTCACATCAATGTTTCTCTCTCTCCCTCTCTCTCCCTCCCTCTCTATATGATGATAAATAGAAAAACATCCTCAGGTGAGGATTAAAAAAAAGTTATTGCCTTTTTCAGAATTAACAGAAGCAGAAGTGGGACAAAAAGAGTGCCAATGAAACATTTCACAAGCCTCAATTAAATAGAACTCTTCTCCTTCATTCTCACCCACTCACCTCTTCTCTTTAGTCTCCCACATTCCTTCCTCACCTTCTCCCAAGATTTAATACAATTAAAAACACTGGAGGGAAGACTGAAAATGGTGGCGGAGTGAATGGAAGCTACACAGACCATCTCCCAGGACCAAACTGGAATTACAACTAAAATAAAGACAAATCGTCAGGAAGGGGCAACCGAAAGGCAGCTTGGAGGACCACATAACCAGGGACACTGACTCAATCCTGGTAGGCTTGCGAGGACGTGAGAGGGGGCCGGGAGCCCGCGGTCCACAGTGGCCTGGGCTGGGACCTGCGGCCACCTCGGCTGGGACCTGTGCCCTCGGCAGGGAGCTACTGCGGCCTCGGTTGGGACCTGCGGCCTCGGCTAGGAGCTACGCCCTCGTCTGGGAGCTGCTGCAGCCTCAGCAGGGAGCAACGGCCTTAGCTGGGAGCAGAGCCCTTAGCTGGGAGCAGCACCCTCAGGTTAAACCCCCAAGCGGCTCCACAGCGCAGAGCCTGGACAGAGGCTAAATTAGCAGCAGCCACTCACCTTGGGCTCCAACAGAGGGAGGGCAGACTGGACGGGAACTGTGTGGGGACACTTGGGATTTGGAGGGCGCTCAGAGCTTTTGCTGAGTTGCAGCCATGCAGGACTGTGGTCATCTTACTCCATCCCAGGGCCCTGGGGAGAGGTGGCGGACCCTCCCTTGGATATTCAACCCCACCCGGTGGCCATTGAAATGCTAATTGAGGCCCATTAACAACCAGCATCTGCCCCAGCCTCAGAAAATCCTCTTACACTGAGCACCTGAGAGAGTTTTTCAGGCAACTCAGAAACCAAGGTTCTTCAGGTGACCACTACTAATAGCCTCCAGGCAAAAAAGCTAGAAGATAACTACCATTCCCTGGGCTAGTAACTCTCACCAGGAAAGTAAGACTTGACAGTGATGTTTAACATGGGTTCTCCCTGCCTCATCCAAACCCAGGCGAGGGAGCCACAAACAGCAGAACAGCAACACCCACAGGGAAAATTTTGCAGACTCCAAAGCCCACTGTGATAGTGGGTGAAACACAGAAACAAAAGCCAAATGAAAGAACAAGAGACCTCTACCGAAGATGAGATAAATGAGATGCAGTTAAGCAAGTTAACAGAACTAGAATT